CAATCATTTAGGAACTCAGCGGCACCATCTCTATGTATCCCAAGCCTTCTAATTCTGCACATTTCCCTTGTTTTTTGTTGGATGTCCTACTGCATGATAAATATCTCTTTTCTAGAAAAGAAATTCTAATATTGATTGCATCAATTGTTAATTTGAAGATAACGTATACATTTATCTCATTTCCTTACTAAACACCCCCCCCCCCCTCTTTTTTTTTTATTAATACCGAGTGCTTTGTATTCCTTATGTTGCAATTTGCCTGCCCACTATTATCAAGTTTCTTCCTACCTTTTTTGTCCAATTAGAAAACTAATAAAAATTATTTTCTAAATTTACCAATATTTATATAAATTCTGTACATTTGTTCTTGTTCTTGTATCGAGCTATATGATGATTTTACCTTGAATGATACAAAGCAAGAAGCAACAATAACAACAACAACCCAATTGATATCTATACACCAAGTACATTAAATTGACCATTTTCTTTACATTAAACGATGATGAAATGTACACGTAGCATACGTTTTTCCTGGAACTAGTTCTCTTAAATATTATCTTTAACAATTGTGTTTTGATTGAAGTTGACCAAAGAAAAAAAATGAATAGGAGTGCAAGAAGTAACTAAGTTGAGCTTGTTATTGTTTTTTGCATTGACTTAAACCTTCTACCAGTTGAAATTTTTAGTCTCTAAAATAGTTGTGATCATGAATGGTCTGTGTATGCCTCCTCTTTTGAGACCTTGAATGAGAACTGTGGTTTTCTAAACTTAGGATTGAACAAGGGAGGACTGGTAGCACCCACTTGCAGAATAGAAAAAGCCGATACCAGGGAACAAGTCGCAGTATACATTCGTCTGCATACTCCACTAGTTCCCAATATGACACGGAATGACATGCGATGTAGCTGGTTTGCTATTCCAGCACAACAAGGGGTGAATGCTGATGATGCAAATGACTTTCTCTCACCAATCTTTCAGGAGCCTTTGTTAAAAGGTTGTTTCGAGTATATACCTGTTGTGGTAGGTTCTCGTCTTTTCATCATAGGCGGTATGGAACTTTCACCGTCAGAGAAATGTGCACCCACAACTAAAAATCCGTGTGGTATGATGTTTAGGCGTGTGCATTATTTAGATACCCAAAGTGGGGAGAAAAAATGGGAAGATGCCCCCACACTTGAGAAAGCACCTCTCGCTTGTTACGTTTTTGCCTTGGATGGCAAGATTTATGTCTTGGGAGATTATTGTGGGAACTCATTTTCTTTGAAATATCTTGATTGCCATAATTTGAATGAAGGATGGAAGTCTCTGCTATGCAGTAGTGATGAGTCACAACATAGATTCTTTAGAGTGGTTGCACACACAATTGAATATGAAGTTGTTAATGATCCCAGTGTTGGTCAACCAAAGTCTCGTGCTCGGCGTGCCATCATGGTTGCAAATGTCGGCTTAATCTCCTATGACTTTGTGACGAATGAGATTGATTTTTGGGAGGGTTCCATTTGTCATTGTCCTTATTTCTCCACCCATGGTGTTTGTCACAATGGGGCATTGTACCTCTTGGCTGGGGATTATTATGATACTGGTGTCCAGATGATGGTTTACGACCTTGAAACGCGCGAATGGAGCCCCACTCCGGTTATTGGTTTTGAGAAGCATAAGAACGCACTTCCTAAAATCGATAGTTATGAGTACTCCGTGGGTGATATTTGTCCAGTGTTGCTTCGCTTGGGCAAAGAACGTTTTGGCCTCGTATGGTTTGACTCCGACCTCAGTATTTGCTGCACCAAATTCAACATTAAAGTGACCCAAGGCCAACATCGTGCAGAAGAAGTTTCAACCCACGCGTACCAGATCGGGGACTATACGAATAGCTGCTTTATGGCTGTGTAAGTTTTCTGTTTTGCATGCCCTATGCTTTTGTTTGCTTTCTTTCTTTAGTAAGACATTCTGACGTGGTTATTCATTATGAGGTTTGTTCAGTGAGTTTTCATGCGGTGTGAGTGTCATAGGTTAGTAGTACAGTAAAATGCAAGGGTAATATGCAGCTTTCTTGTGCATTGGGCATCTCAGTGGAAGCTGTGGGAAGGGTTGATGTTGATATATTTCTTGATTGTTGACCGTGCATTGCATACCGAGAACAAAAAACATGTTTTTCAATGATGTCGTCATTTGAAGGGTTTGATAAAAAAAGAAGTACTAATATTTATGTGGTTGTTGTGCAGCACAATTTGAAGGAAGATGTTGCTTGCAAATGAACCCGGGTACTCGATGATTTAATGGCTTGTAACTTTGTAATGGATCATCCACATGTGTTAAGAGTTTATTATTATGCCGTGTGTACTAAGCCCGAGGCAAAATCTGGCAGTAGCTTCCTCTAGGTTAACTTGTTCAAAACCTGATCTACTTAACTACATGTTAGAATGCTTTTGTTCATTATATAACCAAGTATTTAATACTAAGTCATTATTCATCGATGAAGGTAGGGATTCTTTAAACGTGACATAGAGCTCATCAATAGTTCCCCCCCCCCCCCTAATGGGGGGGGGCAATTTTGACTATAGTGATTGCTTTGATCTCCGCATGCTTTATTAAGTTCGAGTCTTTCCATAGCTACTTCTTTTCCTCCTTGATCCGTTTTCAACTCCCCTTTGTATTTGCAATTTTTGAAGGGTGGGTGTGTTCTGGAATTGTAAATCGAACACAGGACTCCCAGTCTGTGTTGCTTTTTTGTCAACTTTTTACCCATATCCATCTCTTGCTTTAAAAGGCCATCAATTTGGAAGTTGGATGCCATTATCCACTTTTTTCAGCGTATTCAACCAGATCTTTGCAAACCAGTCGATTAGGTCGGGTTTGGATTCGGTCACTTCGAGTTTAGGTTACTTTAGATTCTGGTAAGTTAGTGGAGAACATCATCTTCATGACCCAATGTTATTGAGTTTGGGTTGAGCCAACGGGTTATGATGTTTATTTTAAAATTCTTAAGTTCATATTAACACTTACATTTTGCATTGAATAAAAATTAAAGAGTAATTCTATAAAAGGTTCCCAGTGATAGGTCGTCTTACATTTTTAGTCCTTACATATTAAATATTACTAATGAAGGTTATTAGTTTTGAATTTTGATTCTACCAGTTAGACAAACAATTAAGAAAAGAATGTAGATTTTGGTTTGGAGTTCAAAGCTTCAAACTCAGCGACGGGTTTGGAAAAAGAGTGTGAGGAAAGAGAGAGGAGAAAAAAGAGTATGAATTTACAATTTTATCTACGTTCTTAACGAAAATATTAACAAAGGACTATTTGTGAAAATGAATATAATAATTGGAAACTAAATTAGTAATATTTGATATGTAGGGACTAAATATGTGAAACGACCTATAACTGGTAACCTTTTATAAAATTTACTCAAAATTAAATATTAAAAAAATATGTTTTATTATTCTATTAAATCTATTAGATTATTTTATTTTGAACTTAAAGTCATTTTAGACACATAAACTAATATTACAATTAAAAAAAACTATATATGCACAAGTTTTTGAAAAAAGTAAGGTAATCATGTGATATCATTAAGGTTTTGTCTAAATATAAAAATTTATATAGTAAAAATAAGTAAGACAAAAATATAATTATATCCTTATTTTTATAACATCTTATTTCATATTAAAGCATACTCCCTACTAGGTCTCTCAATGGGTTAGGTTCGGGTCGGTCCATAGTGTTCAATACCCGTACCTATTTTTAAAAATTTAATCCTATATTTGGATCCATTGGGTTTCTGTATCGGGTCGGCTACACCCATGATAAAAGTTGACGTCTTTTATTTTTCTATAATTGAAAAACAATTAGTGAAAATACTATGAATGAAAAACACTTTAATTGAGTACAAATAAAAATAAGAGTAATACGTTACTATAACAAAAATCGGTCTTCTTTACCAAAAATCTACAACAAAATTTTTGGATTCATAATCAGTCTTCATCATATTCATTTATGTTGCAAGAATGTTCTTTATAACATTACAGTTAGTTCTAAATTATTTATTTTATAATTCTACATAACATAAACCAATATATACATGCCTCTAATGTGATGAAATAAATACAAATAGACTAGTGTTAACCCCGTGCTTCGCACGGGCTTGTATGCATTCTAAACTTTTGACATTCTATAAATATAAATTTATTTATTTTAAATGAATATTTTTCACTCTAAGATACATGGAGTATTTTTTTTATAAAAAATATACTTCAAATATTGATATACATGCACTAAAAGTTCTATAATTATATTTTATTTAAAAAAATGACATTAAATTAAACATAAAAATACCAAAAACAATTTAATATCTTTGAAGGTAAAATGTTTTTTCATTTTTTGAAAGTGAAGTATTTTTAAATTAATAATAGAGAGTCTTATACATTCTCTTTTATAAAATTTTGCAATCAATATGCATATTTAAAATACAGAGTATATTTTACAATAGTGAAATATATATTTATTGAATCATTAGAAAATAAAAGTTTTATACAAAATATAATCAAAGTTATGTTTATTCATGCTAAAAAATAGTCTTCATTTAATATAATACAATAANTATAATTATATTTTATTTAAAAAAATGACATTAAATTAAACATAAAAATACCAAAAACAATTTAATATCTTTGAAGGTAAAATGTTTTTTCATTTTTTGAAAGTGAAGTATTTTTAAATTAATAATAGAGAGTCTTATACATTCTCTTTTATAAAATTTTGCAATCAATATGCATATTTAAAATACAGAGTATATTTTACAATAGTGAAATATATATTTATTGAATCATTAGAAAATAAAAGTTTTATACAAAATATAATCAAAGTTATGTTTATTCATGCTAAAAAATAGTCTTCATTTAATATAATACAATAAAATATACTTCATCTCATAATTAGTGCACATGTGGATTCTTAAGAAGGTTAATGAACCAATAAAATGCCTCCATCTCATAATTAGTGCACATGGAGATGCACATGTGGCATGCCACATGTCAACACTACAACCATTACACTATAATAATAAGGATAAGGATAAGGATTTGTAAGCCACGCAACCAACAAAGAAGATGAGTAGTGAAGATAAGGAGTGGGGAACTCTCTCATTCCAGACTCGTCGTCACTGTATCGGTGGAAGGTTGTCGCCATCTAATTTGACGCCATCTAAATTGCAGGCAAAGAGGAAGTCAAGCCACCAGAGGAGTGACGATGTCTGAACCGCCCGAGCAGCGACACTTCCTGAACTGCCTTACCATTGTCTCAAGCTGCCGCCACTGTCATTGCCTGAGAAGCGACGCCTCTGGCTACACATCTTTGCCACTATTCTCTCTCTAATTTCCGATCCGATTAACAAGCAACACTAGTGTTTGGATCGGGGGAATGGAATTAATAAAACAAAAGACCGGAGAAACAAAAGGAAGATCAAGAGAAAGGAGAGAAGATTGAAAAAATGGAAAGAGAAATATGAAAGTTATCTAGTGAAACTTAGATCGAGAATAGAGAGAGAACCATAGAGGATGGAGAGAGAGAGAGGTGGGTAGAGGGGGTTAATAGTTTAGGTTGGTGGTGTCTTTTTAAGATAAAATTTTTGCCAAATAAGAAAATGGGAATTTTTTTAATGAACAACCAAATAAGAAAAATGAGAAGTTTTTTATCGACGGGGGAGGAGTATAATTTTGAAAAATTCTTACATTAGGGAGTCGGTTAGGTAGGGTTCGAATTCAGTCAGGTTTGAATACTTTTTAGCGGATTGTTTAGGGTTTGGTCAATAAAATTTTGTTCAATAATGTTTTCAGGTTGAATTCCGAGACAAAAATAGGTCTGGTTGCCGGGCGGTCCGGCCTCCTAGCTCCCATGTCCAACCCTCTAACAATATAACCCCATCCACCATCAAAGATTGGCGTGCAATGCAATTCACATCTTTTTTCCACATGAGGTAATATGTGGAGGGGCCGAGGATTTTACTTCCCAACTTTTAGAACATTAAGAGTATGTTTGGTTTGTGAAATTCGAAAGAAAAAGAAATGAAAGTAATTGTTCTCATCTTTTTATATTTTTTTTAAATTTTTTTTATTTTTTTTCACTTTCTAATCAAACAAGAAAAATTATTTCTCTTTTACTTTTTTCTGTCTCCTTCTAATTTCTTTTTCAGTCTCCTTCTTATTATCTCATAGTTTAAAGATATGAGCACGGAATTTGGCACGGACAAATGCAGAGTCAAATTGAAACGCAAATAGAAACACGACATGTGGCTACTTTCTTTTTCGGTGTAGTCACGAAATGTCCGTGCCTAATATTCCGTGCCAATTCCGAGAGTTTTTTGTAGTGAACATGCGAATTCCTTCAAGTCGAAACATCTAACATGAACAAATAAATTTCACACTACCCTTTGCGGCGTGAAGTTTCCTTTGGCGCACGGTGGCTACCACTGTAAACTTTTAAATTCTTCCATCATAATTTGCCTTATTATATTACTCCATATGTTCTCATTTTGACTTTTGGTAGTTTTTAAGGAGAGTTGAAAAAAGTAGAAAGTTTATTATAATACCCTTAATGAAAATGGGTAGAGTGTATTAAATGAGGTGGGTGAGATGTAATAAATAAAGTAAGTGAGAGTAGTTGTGGTGTTTTAATTGTTAAAAAATGAAATGAGAAGATTTATTGTGGACAAAGAAAAAAGACTATTGGGAAGATCTATAAGGGACGGAGGGAGTAGTTGGTATTTTTTAATTTATTAACACTATTTGGTTCTGGAAGGAAAAGAAAAGAGAATGATCTTTTCTCACTAAAATGGGAGGATTTTCTCCACTTCGGATATTTTGCCTTCACAGTTTCTTTTCCTTCCATTTTTTCCTTTCTTTTCCTCTCTAACCAAACAAAAAAAACTGTTTTCCACTTCATTTTTTTTTTCCCTTTCGAATTACTTGAACCAAACAAACATAGTGTATGTAAGGGAATTTGGTAAAGCTAAAAGGAAGAAATAGAATTTGGGAGGCGGATAGTTAAGGTCTAGAACATTGGCTTTGAGAAGGAGGCCATTGCACGTGGATGGGTGCTTGCTGGAATGGAGAATGCTTGAAATGAAGAGCCAAAGCTTTTACTTTACCGGAGGTGCCCAAAATGCCAGTGGCACCGCTAGTGGCACCGGATTCCAGTGGCACTGGAACCCCACCCTTTATTATATATTCCTAAAATCATTCCAGTAATTTGTGTAATAAGTGTGTTGTGTGAGATAATTATGATGTATACAGTGTTTTACCTCTCAAAATTTCTTGCTGTCATGAAAAATACCATATCAACAGGTATAATATACACTTCTCGTCTAGCAATGCTTCTTAATTACTCCCTAAGTATTTGGTTGGAAATTCATCTTCCACTTCTCTCTCAAAATTTAATTAGCAACCTAGTAGGGAGTAGTTAACACAAAGAGAAGAAATTGGACCTATGATCTATTTTTGGGTGGGGCTATATTCCCCCCTATTTTAGTTATTGCCACTCCATTTTAAGTGTGTGGACAATTCTACCCTTCTGCCTAGAGGTGGCAATCGGATCAACTGGATCGGTTTCGGGTTGGACTTTTTCGGTTTAGATATCTTTCGGTTATATGTTATAATTGGTTTAGTTCGGATCAGATCTGTTAACTTCTGGTTCGGATTTGATTCGGTTCGATACATTTTTCGGTTTGGTTCGGTTTCAAGTCGGTTAAGATTCAGTTTGGTTATAAATCAGATAGATTTCGGTTCGGATACAATTTCAATCAGATATATTTTGGTTTCAGGTCTAGTTTAGTTTGGATATACTACGGAGTATTTCGGTTTCGGATCAAATATATTTTGGATATATATTATTTTCTAATTAAAATTTAACTATCCATATTTCTTTTTATGTTTTATCACATTTATCAATCTATCATCATTTTAATATCTCATACCCGGAGTATGTTTTATATTTTTTTCTAATTATATTATTTGTACCCTAAATAATCTTCCTTTTTTGACTTTTTAGTCATATTTTACAAATTTGGACTATAAATTGTGAAAACATATATATTTAAATGATGATAAAAATTTAATATAATTAAACTGATTTTAAAATTTAGTTTTGAAATATCAAACTTTTCTCACATCTACTAATATACTTATGTTTATAAATGAAAAGATGAGAGATAAATTCAAATAGTGTTATGTTCTATTTGAATATAATTTGGTAAAAAATTGAGTAAAATTGGGTGAAATTAGGTGAATTTTATTCAATTGAGTGCAAAATTTATAAATTATTGAGTATATTTTGTTGAAAATAGATTAAATTAAATTCAATAGAGTCAAATACAGGGCTGGCCCAATAGGGGGACAAAGTATCCGTCCGGGCCGGGCCCAATAATTTTAGGGGCACATTTTTTATGTAATATATATGTAAGTATATAAGAAGCCCACTGGCCTAGTCCATCCCCTCACCCCTTAAGGCTTAGCCCAGCCCACCCCTTTGTTTTTCTAAATAAGATATAAATAAGATTTGCTAATCTATACTAATCTATATAATCTATAATCTTTGGTGTATTTAAATTTATTTTATTTATATTTTTTTCAGATAAAAAAAATAAAAATATTTCAAAATTTGTTAAATTATTTATATTTTTTTATATTTTTATAAACTATACTCTTTTTACAAATATTTCAATTTTTATATTTTTTACATATGTCTTATTTTTAATACATAGTATTAAAAATGAATTTACTTAGGTTTTTTCAAAAAAAATACATACTTCTACTTTACAAAATCTTTTATTTTATGGAGGGAAAAAAAAGAAAACAAGAATATTGCCTCGCCCATTACTTGCCAAGCATGGCAAATCTCTATAGCCTTGCAAGGCATTTTACTTAATTTGCTTGTGTGGCAGTGGCACAGCCACACCTCTTCCAGTGCTCTTAACATGTCAATATTATATACTGAGTCAATAACAACAATAATGATGGTAATACTCCGTAATAAGAGTAAATTCCATAAAAGTTCTACTTATAGATTGTTTTACATATTTAGTTCCTACATATCAAATATTACTAATTTAGTCTCCAATTATTATATTCATTTCCACGAATGGTCCTTTGTTAGCATTTCCGTTAAGAACGTGGATAAAATTGTAAATTCACACTCCTTTCTCTCCTCAATTAAACTTCCTCGCTCCCCTCGCACTCCTTTCCAAAACCCATCGCAGAGTTTGAAACTTTGAATCCAAAATCGAAATTATCATTCTTCTCTCAATTGTTTGTCTAACTTGTGGAACCCAAATTCGAAACCAGTAACCTTCATGGATGAATTTTAATGTTTATTTTCTTTGCAATTTTTTGAGACTAACCGATAAAACTCATCCATAAAGCTGATTAGTTTTGATTTTAGGTTCCACCAAGAAGACTAATAACTGAGAGATAAATGATCATTTCAGTTTTAAATTTAGAGTTTCAAACTCAGCAACGAGTTGGGAAAATAGTACGAGAAGAGGGATGGAGTTTAATTGAGGAGAGAAAAAAGTATGAATATACAATTTTATCCATGTTCTTAACAAAAACGTTAACAAAGAACTATCGTGAAAAATGATATAATAATTGAGGACGAAATTAGTAATATTTGATATGTAGAGATTAAATATGTAAAATTTACTCTAATAATAATCTTCATAGGTCAATTTAGATATAAATAAACATACTCCGTATATTATATCCATAAATTTGTAACATGTTTTAGCGTCATGTAAGTTAATTTAAAAAAAATGTATTATTTGTATTAAGAATGGAAGAAAAAATAATAAGTAACGTGAATCCCAAAAATGGTGACATCGAAAAAATAAATAAGAGCACCAGCAGCGGCGTGGAGACTGCCACCTCAGCTTATTTGCTAATTCGCCATGCGTGGTGGTTAAATTTCTCCCCCATTCCCGTGTCAGCGAGCCTTCTCTTGTTCATTTTTTTCTTTTTTTTTCTTTTTTTGGTAAGAGACTTTTTGATTAATTTTTTAAGGAAATACTCCATATAACCTTTTTTATGATAAAACAAATAACAATAATAATTTCAAATAATCAAAATGCTCAGTATTTAAAAAAAGTAAAAAAGTGAGAAAAAATTAATGTTATTTTATTTGTTTGCATAAAAAATAAGTTTTTTAAAAAAAGTAGAAGTATTTTTATAAAAAAATAAATTAAATAATTTTGAGTTAATAGAAATATTTTTATGATAAAATAAACAAGTTAAATAACTTTAAATAATTCAAATATGGGAAAAAAATAAAAAAATAAAAAAATAACGACTTGCCACTGTAGAGCATACCACTCCACTCCCTTGCCACTCGTTGATTGGACTGTTTTTTATTGGTTGAAATGTTCTACGTCAGCGTGTGACATTCCATTTTTGCCTCACCATTGCTCATGCTCTAAAAGAAAAATTAAAATAAGTTATGAATTATGTAGAAGAAAATGAAATTCTAAAAGGGAATTATTCATTTCAACACTTTTTGTTTTTCTCAACATTTTCCAACCATTCTCATCTCTTCGGTTTCTTCCATTTTTTTAGTTTTTTCGACACCATCCAATTTTTTATCCAATTAATTCCGGTTTATCCCAATCAATTGGTATTGTCGGGTGCAGACGGATTCGGGCTTGACTGGCAAGACCTTTGTTCAAAATATACTACTCGGGCTTTAAAAGATTGACAAAGTGTGAATTTTTTGGTCAAGCTGGGGCTTCCTTTGACCGTGAATTACGAAAAATGTATATTTGGTTATAGAGTAAATTTAATAAACTTTGTTTTTATTTTAAAATATAATTTTGAAATACTTCTAGTTTTGACTTTTTTTGGTCAATCATTTTTAATCTTTGACCTATAATTAAAATATATATTAATCTAATATATATTATATTTTAATTAAATAAAATAATATTTTGAAAATATTTGATATAGTAAATCTAATAAAACTTCTTTTTGTATCAATATATAATATCATTTTTATTTAATTCGACATCAAAGTTTACCAATTTTGACAAAAAAAGACAAAAATAGACAAATACTCAAGAACAGAAAGAGTTTCAAGTTTTAATAATGTTTAATGGGATAATAGCATGCGCGCCCTCCGTGGTTTACAAAAGGAGCGCCAAAACCCCATCTACTTTCAAAAGTTATTTGTAAAACCTCTGTGGTTTTTAAATAGTGTACAAAACCCTCATCTTGCCTATTTTACACATGAAATGACATCTCTACTCTTGGTTTTTCTCTATCTTTAAATTTCACTCTTTTCTTTAGATTTTTTGTTATACAAATAAATAAAATAAAATATACGTCCTATTTCTCGAATTAAAATTTTTTATTTATATAATTTTCAAAAAAAATAATTTTTTAAGAAAATGTTTAAAAAATGAAATAAAATACACTTTTTCATTATAAGTAAAAGTAAAATAAATAAATTTAAAAATTGGATAACATATACTCACTCTATCTCTAATTAAAAATTCTAACTTATTTGTTTTTTAAAGTAAAATAAATTTTTAAGGACTTTAAAAAATGAAGAATAGAAAGATGAAATAAAATATGAAGTTAAAGAAAAAGACTATTTTTATATTTTTGTTTCTTTTCATAACCTTTTTTTAACTATTATAAAAGAATAGTGAAAGAATAATGAATTGGGAGGAAATTCTCTCTGGATTTCTTGTGTTCAATTTACAAAGTAGACATGTATATATAGGCTCTCACAGGTTGAGAAACCTAATCACAAAAGGAAACGAAATCAACCCTATACAAGGAAGCTACCAAAAATAATATATACACAAATATCTCCAAATATTCTACCAAATATTTCATTTCCTTTAACACCCCCCCTCAAGTTGGAGCATGTAGTAACGAAATGCCCAACTTGGGAAGAAGAAACTCCAAACGTGACTTTCCGAGTGCCTTTGTATGAATGTCTGCAAGCTGATGCGTAGTAGGCACATGAAGTGTACGAATCTCTCCTCGCAAGAGCTCATCACGAACGAAGTGACAATCAATCTCAATGTGCTTCGTGCGTTCGTGGAAAACCGGATTAGCAGCAATGTGAAGTGCTGCCGTGCTGTCACACCGGACCGTCATGGGGTTCTTATGCTCAACCCCTAAACACTGCAATACATTCTTCAACCACTTCAACTCACATGTAAGAACCGCCAAAGCTCTATACTCTGCTTCAGCAGACGAGCGAGCCACCGTCGACTGCTTCTTTGTTTTCCATGAGACAGGCGAGTCTCCAAGCTGCACAAACCACCCTGTCAGTGACTGCCTCGTCAAAGGACATGCTGCCCAGTCCGAATCACACCATCCTGTGAGTTGAAGACTACTCTCTGCTGACAGAAAAATGCCCTGACCCGGACATCCTTTCAAATAACGAACAACTCTAAGGGCCGCAGACCACTGATCCTCCCTTGGTTCCTTCAAAAATTGTGCTAAAGTGTGGACGGCGTAAGAAAGTTCTGGTCGTGTAACAGAGAGATAGACTAACCTTCCTACCAACCGTCGATATGGCTCTGGATCTGCAAGAAACGGGGCCTGGGAACGAGCCAAGTGATGATTTGGCTCCATCGGGGCACCCAACGGCCTGGCACCTAACAA